TGTAATGAAACAAGTTATATGAATGGTTGAATGTGAAACTGATGATGTGCCCTGTAAACTTTCACTCAATCCACAATAAAAACCCTAAATTAAAAAAAAAAAATGGGGGGAGGAGGCAGAGCTATAAAAACATAAAGTGGCTGGTTTACACACTTTAATGAATGTGCTGAGTTGCAGATGAAAGGGGTAAGGTAAAATCCCCACTAAATAGTGTCCCTCTTTCCCAGATGGATCTTATGACTCAGTTGTGAACAACTGTTAGTAGGATTAAGTGTGACTGTCACATGTGTAATTGTAGAAGATGTGTAGGTAAAAAAGAGGGAGTAGGTAATCTTTCAATTCAGGAACCGACACTCCCAGAACCATCAAGAAGGATAAGTGAAGTGTGAGATCCCTACCTAGAAAAAACAGCAAAAGTAAAGACTGCGGTTGTAGGCCTGCAGGCAGAAGGCCGTCTGCCAGAATATGCCCTTGTACATTTAAATGAATATGGATTTTTTCGGTTTGTAAGTGTACATCAAATATTTTCACCTTGTTCATTTGTGAAATACAATATGTAAATGGGAAGCCACAGGGAAAAGTAGCATAACTGTTGTAGGGAAATCATAATCACTGAGATGAAACAAAGTGGTTTGCTAAATGTAGAGCTGATGACCTTGTCTGTAAACCTTCACCCAATTAATAACTAAGTTTAAAAAAAAAATTTCAATGCACTAAGAATGTAGCTGTAGACATTTGATCTCTTTGAAAACAATGCCTTGATTCTACTGGGACAAATAGGAGGAACAAATTTCGTAGATTTTTCACTGTAAAAAGAAAGCATTATATAATAAAAGCAATCAGGAACAACCACTAGTTTGACCCAAGGTAAATTACTGAAATGCTTTGTGCTTGATTTTCCACACCTAAAAATGTTGTACCTCCTATATAAGATCATAAAACTACAAGGACAATCGTTAAGAGCGTTAACATAAACCACAAAATATTCACTCCATATAAGGAATCAAAATAAGCTTAGACTTTTTTTTAACTCATATCCCTGAAGTACTGTATGTGATTGTAGCAGTTTATATTACTGTTTCACCCTCAATTCAATGATCAGAGTTGACATTCTCTCTTGGTGCTACAGGATAACACTAGACTGCAAACCATGAAATAGGAGGTTCAAATCCACCAGCCTCTCCTTGGAAACCTGATATAGGGTCACTGAGTAAAACCAACTCAACAGCACTTAACAGCAATTAAGACCGAAACAACAAAAACACACACAAAAAAAACCTAGCACTGCTGCAGGCATATTATGTAATTTGACCATTAATGTAGAATGTCAATCATCCAGTAACAGATGCTATTTGCCAGACATTACACTCAGCATTTTATATGGTTATTCCATTTAATGCTCAAAACAACCCTCTGAGGGAACTACAAATCACCATCCTACAGAAAAGGGCATGGGAACAAAGAAATCTCCTTCTCAAGGTCAAAGTTAAAGTTGAAATTTCAAACCAACTAGTTGGGACTCCAAAGCCAGCCTTCTTCACTAAACTATACTTGCTCTGGATCAGTCTCTGGGTAAAGAGAATGTTTTGAAAAGTAAGAAAAAAAATGAGGCAAACTCACCGTTTTTAATTCCATCAGGACTTGTTCATCTACTCCATCATCCAGAAATATGTCTCTCACATCATTAATAACATCTTCAATCACAGATCTGTATAATTTAGGCTTTAAAAGAAAAACGAGACTGTTGAAAATCTTTTTCACATCAAAATGCTTAAGTTTTCACAATTTTAAAGCAAATCATTAATATAATCATTTTAGTGGATTAATGTATCAGACTGCAAGGTCGGCAGTTCAAGTTCACCAGCGGCTCCTTGGGAACCCTATACAGGGTTGCTATGGGTCAGAATCGACTCGACGGCACTTAACAACAAACGTAATTTAGAAGGTATGACTGAAGAAATGGCCAATTTAATGATCATATGCCTTAGCTGAACAAGGATAACTGAAAAGGTATTATAGAACTGAATTATTTGATAACTAAATAATGTTGCTAAGATGCCACCCTCACAGCTGTTGCTATGTTTGTGCAAACTGGTGCAACCACTCTATCAATCCAAGAACAATGTTCTTCTCCAGATACTGCAGATTTGATTCCAGACCACTGCAATAAAGTCAATGAACATCAAAATAAAGCAAGTCATAAGACTTTTGGGCTTCATAAAACATGTAAAAGTTACATTTCCACTGTACATTAGTCTATTAGAGAAGCCCTAGTGCAGAGTGGGTTAAGTGTTAGGCAGCTAACTGAAAAGTCAGCAGTCTGAACCGACAAGGTGGAATAACTAAAAGTTAGAAGGTTCACATCTACCAGCTATTTAGTGGAAAAAATATGAGGTAATCTACTTCCTTAACAATTCACAGACTCAGACACCTGTGAAGCAGTTCTACTCTGCCCTATATTGTCACAAAGAGTCGAAACAGACCAAGGGCACAAGGTTTGGTTTGGGGTAATCTATTAAGCAGGCAACAGCATTATGACAACCTTGAAATATTTTGAGAATTACCAAAATGTGACACAGACAGTAAGTGAGCAGCATTCTATTGATGCTGACAGACTTGCTTAACATGGGATTGCCAAACTTTCCATTTGCAGGGGGAAAAAAGTTAAAAACTGAAGTGAAATAAAGCACAGAGCAATAAAATGAGGCATGCCTGTATACTGTTTGTATTATTTGACATTACTATTACTGTAAGGAGCTCTGGTAGCGTAGTGGTTACGAATCGGGCTGCGAGCCTTAAGGCCAGCAGTTCGAAACTACCAGCCGCTCCGCGGGAGAAAGATGAGGCGTTCTGCTCCCGTAAAGATTTACAGCCTCGGAAACCCTGTACAGGGTCGCTATGGGTCGGAACTGACTTGACGGCACTTAACAACAACATTACTGTAGGAATTACTTAGAAGCTGGCTTCTAGATTACTGCCACAAGGATAAAATGAAAATAGATATGAAGGCAGTTTCCAACTTTTTTAAAACTAAAAGAGAAAGAACAATTTGTCCAACTCACATCCTATTTTTAACATGTTAGATGAAAGGAAGTTTGCAGCCAGACTAGTAAAACTAGAGCTGCCTTTATTATCATATGAAAACAGTTTCAACAGTTCTTAAAAAAAAAAAAAAATTTTTTTTAAATCTTTGTCATTATTTATGTTTTACACCTTGTTTAAGATGCAAGTTACTAGCTAACCAATAAAGCCAAGAATTTGTTCTCCTAAGCAAACCTCAAGGAGGAATTACTATTTCAGTAGCATTCTTATCCAAAATACTGTTATCACAGGGGATCCCTCAAAGAATACGCAATATTATCTGGCCAAAAATATGAACCGAGTATGCTGCAGCAAGCCCCCTTCATCATTAAAAACTATTCCTTTCTTTTCATTACAACCAGAAAAACAGTTCATGCATCTTAGTTCCCACCCTTACTGTGCCCCTGAATAGACCTTTCAATTTTGCTAAATCTGCCTGTAGACTTGAGTTATTTGTAAAATGTGCATCTTTGCAGAGCCTACTAATTTTAACATTCTGATTCTACCTGTAAGTGAATGACTATGGGAATCTTCTACAAATATTAGCGGCTTAACTATTTAATTATAAAACTACATAAAGCTGTTTTATTTTATTTTATTTTTTTTAACAACTATAAAGAAGCATACATCCTTAAACTGGTAATATAAATCTCAAATTGATGATATAAATTATTTTTTCAGCAAACGAGATGCTGTTTTGGTGCTCCTAAAGTTAGTTAACCCCAAATTTTCATTGGCAATCCAAAAGTCTGGTAGTCCCAACTTAATGAACCAAATTTTGTTTTAAGATTTTGCTTTTTTAACCTTAAGTGAGTGTATGACCTGAACACTGAAAGTGGGAGGGAAATGTGTACTCTTCATGAAGTATCTATAATGCAGTAAAATTGTTCCCAAGTTGCCAAATCCTCAAAATATTGATTCTTTAAAGTGTATGGGTGCATAGACACCATTTAATACAAGCAATTTCCTAATCATCATTTAAAATTCTAAACTTTACTTGAGCTAACGTTTTTCTTTTGCTTAATGCAAGATAACTTAGGAGCTATTCAGATCTTAAAAACAGGTACATAACAAGGCAATTAGAGGCATTATGAAGACATTAATTAGGTTTCTCTGGTGTATCTAAAATGATTCACGTTATATAATACTTTGGACCAAAAGATCAATACTACAGCAATTAAAATAATTTTTTAAGCCCAGAATACACAGCAATGTTGGAAAGAATTGTGGGTTAATTTTATACTGAAGGGAGTCCTGGTGTGGTGCTGTAGGATAAGCACTAGACTACTAAACAAATGTTGGAGGTTCAAGCCCACTAGCCGATCCTCAAAAAACCTATACAGGGTCGCTGAGTCAGAATCGACCCAGGCACTAGACAACAAACAACAACCATGTTACTATTCAGTGTCATAAAAGCAGTCTACATTTATTTTTAATTTTTTAAGATTCCGTTTGCACTAACCACATCTCTTCATCCGCATGACTCACAATTCCCCTACAATATAAATGTTTTGTGGACGCAAAATCTTAATCAAGCTTTAGCCACTAATCTATTTCTTTGAAACTCTCGCTTCTTCCCTTATTTATGGGCAAAAAACATAATGAAATAATCAAAAAAGGAAACAATGGAATACTAGCAGTTACCTTTGCAGCTGACAAGTATAAAGCATTTTTAAATTTCCCGACAATGAAGCACACACCTCCCAATACATAAAGCCATCTAAATTAAAAGTCTCTTTCAAAATAAAAATAGCAGTGACAGTAATTTCCGAATTGTTTTCCCGTGGCAAACAAAAAAGGCAAACCCCTAAGCTACTGCATCCAAACAAACATTGGGGATTCAGTACGCAACCCCAGTTAGGTGCAAAAATGAGAGCGCTAAGAAAAGAGCCCGGGAATAAAAGGAGCTCGGCACGCGCAGCCTCTCGCCTCGGGAGCACGCACCTCCCAGCCCCGCTCGCAGCAGCTCTCACTATTTAAAGCCGGATCTGGTGTTTAAATGGAGAGGCGGTGACGTAGGCCTGAAAAGCACCTTCCCATCCTGGCAGAGTCTATATTAGAGAGCGGCAATGGCTCTATATAAACAGGGCAGCCAAAGGGAGGAGGACCACAAGGCTCAGGGACTGAAAGGCAGGCTAAGCGGCCGCAGCCATGATGGATCGACCCGAGTCGCCAACGGTACGGTGTCGGGCGGCCGCGGGCTGCTCTGCGGCACTCGGGACCGGGCAAAAAACGTGTTTTATTGTCACAATAAAAAGAAGAGTCGGTGGACTCGGGCTCACATTGGGTCGGGGGCGGAAAAGGTTATGGATGTGACTGCTTTTTGCAAACCTACGTGATCGCTAGTAACCAAAAAGGGACAAACGGGGGAGAGAAGTAGGCACATTTTAAGACGAAAGCAGGGGCACTTGGAGCACTGTAGGCTTTTGGGGGGTTTGTTTTTGGTGCTTTTGCTAGTCGGAGATACGATGAGGGTTTTGCTTCCCCTTCGCCATTTTACCGATTCCGAAAGAACCGAGATAAGTACTTTTCAACCTTCGTCCTTTTCCCCTCAAACGTAAAATGGCCCCAGTGAAGGGTCCGAAAGTCTAACCGCCAGGAACCCCCCGAGTGGCCCCCGAAGCGGCCAGCAGCCTTCCCCTGCGTTACAGTGGAGCACGGCGGGGCTTGGGGCTTCGCCCAACTCCCCAGACACGGCTTTTTTTGTGTGGCGGCTGCTCCGGGAGCCCCAATCTGGGGACGCGGCGGCTCCCCTCCTCCCTCCCGGCGCGAGGGTCTGGGGCCGGGCCGCG